CCTAAACCTTCAGGAGATTCGGCTTCCAGAGAGACCACAGTAGTCCTAGCTTCCGTTCCTAGACAGGAGGAAAGGATGATAGCTGTCCTACAAAACCCTTCCTCTCTGCTAGATTTCTAACACTAAAGGTAACGATAAGTGTGGCTATTGAATGGAAAGTCCTCCAGGTCCCTCTGAGACTGTATGTAGTCAATCAGAATTTAGAAGAGGGCAGATTGTGTGCTGGGCAATCTCTAGACTTCCTCATCTGCAAAATGGGAATGAGAATCTCTACATCCTAAGTGTGAAATTTAAATGATGGGGTATTTCCGAAAGCTAAGCACTGAGAACTACTATTATGACAAGTGTTGCTGGAGAGAGAGGTGACACAAGACAGGCTGTTTCAGTCCGAGCCTTCCAGAGTCTTTCCTTCCTCATCTGCAGAAGGGGACTATTGGTAATTGCCTCAAAGCTGTGGCAAGGTTTAAGTCAGATAGCATGCTTGGGGAGGCCAGCCTACTCTACCCCCTAGGGTCCAGCCTCACAAGATTCCCACCTCCCATGGGCCCACTCTCCATGGCCCTCCCTTCTCACCCACAGCTGACTGACAAGAAGTCAAAGTGAACAGACCTTCCCGTCCCCTGCTTTAAAGGACACTGTGACAGCAAAAGCCATTCCCGTTAGAGGTTGGGAAGTTGCTGATGACCTTGTGGGCCAGAGGCTTTCTTTTCAGGGCTCACAGCAAGGCCTCTGCTGGACACAGAGCAGAAGGTCAGCCCTGCATCTTTGATAACTCTATGTGGCCAGCCAAAGCCCGCCAACAAGCTAGTGTCCCCTGTGAGCCAGTGAACTCTGCTTCATTGACGTCTAATATAATAATTTCCTCATATCGCTGGTGGCTGTTGTCAGCCCTCTGAAGCCTTCTCTCATTCCAACAGGTCCCATAAAGAAATTGTGTTTGCTCAGTGTGTCACGCAGAGTCCCCTGAGGGAACTCAATGTCTAAAGTGGGCTCTTTGAAGGGACTTCCAGTGAAGGCTGGGGACGACGGTAGGACAGGGACCAAGCTACACATGGAGGCACCCAGAGACTAGCAATGGGGAGAAGCTATAATCACTCTAGGGCTGAAAGGGCAAAAGGGAAACACTTACAGAGTCCAGATCCCAGAGACAAATCCCACAGAGGTGGCCCACCAGAAGCTGGTATGTTGTAAGCTGCAGGGGAAAGATGGATCAGAGGAACGGGGAAAGAGAAGCGCACTTCTCTCCTTCCATTAGCAGAACACCCGCTGGACATCTCTTAACCAAACCCAGTCAGAGGCTAAGGCCAAGGCTAGGAGTCCCAGAAAAGGGTCTGTGGTCCAGTGCAGAGGTTGGTGAGTGCAAGGAGGAGTGCCTAGGAAAGAAACCAACCCACACAAACTCTCTGAAAATGATTGGGCAAGGTATTATCATTATTGTTCTTCGGAGGCCGGATTTTGCGATGTAGCTAGCGCTGGCCTCACGTTTCTGGCAGTCCTTCCACCTGTGCTTCCCAAGTCCTGGGATTATAGGCAGGCATCACTTAAGGATTGTGTGCTCAGGAACAAGCACAGTAAGCAGACCATAATCCTCCAATGACAACGACAAGCTCTCACAGATCTGAGGGCTTAAAGCTACACCTGTTGATTTATGTATTGCCTTACAGTTCTGAAAGCCAGGAGTCTGGGATGGTTCTCAGAGGGCTAAAGTCAGAGCTGTAACCCCTCCACAGGCCTCAGAAGGAACTCATGACTACACTACTTCCAGCTCCTACAGCTAATGTACACTCTCTCAGCACCTCAGCTTCATCTCGCTGCATCTTTTCGTGGTGCTGGAATCCAGGCCTTCACATATTGGAGACAAAAGCCCTACTATAGAACTGCATCCGGACCCCACTCTTTCCTTTCTCTGTTATTTCAATTTATTTTTTGAGGCAAGTGTCCTAGGCTGGCCTCCAGCTTCCTAGGTGGCTGAAGGTGACCTTTGAACTTCTGGTCCTCCACCTTCCAAATGCTGAGATTATGGGCATGTGCCACCATATATTTACGTGGTACTGGAGATAAAACTCAGGATTTGTGCATGCTGGGCAAGCCGACTACCAACAGAGCTACATCCTTATTTGCAACGCAGGGTCCCCCTAGGTTGCCTAGACTGGCCTTGAACTCAGACTGTAGCCAAGGAAGGCCTTGTACTTGAGACTCTCCTGCCACAGTCACTTAAATAGCTGTGGTTACTGGCCTGCCCCACCAGTAAGCCACATCTTATTTTTGAATCTGATCTTTCTCCCTCTGTCTTCAAAAGACCCAGGGATTATCCTGGGTAGTCCAGGATCAACTCCCCATCTCAAGAACGATACTCCGTTTAAGGAAATCCATCAAGAGTCCCTTTGTAAGGTGACCCTTCAGGTTCTAGTGGATATTTGGAGGACATCATTCACCTGTCACACTGACGTAGCCTCTCTCTAGTGCCATGGCCCTTTGACTCATTTCTATCTGGCAGGAGACTTCGTTGTTTCCTCAGACATGGTAACTGCTCTTCTACATTGGGGTTTCATTCCTCCTGGTGCTACACACTGAAATTCTCTTCCTCCTTCTGGCCTTCTTACACTCAGGTCTTAAATAGTTTTCATGAAAGGGTTGGTAGCGTCACTCAGTGATAGAGCACTTGCCTAGCACACACGAGGCCCTTGGTTACATGCCCAGTGCTACAAAATACAATAAAACCATCTCAGAAAGACCACCCGTGGCCTCCCAGTCTCTGCTGGCCATATCCTCCTCACAGCTACTTCTAATGGAATTCCCACTTTCTTAGCTTCCTGTTGGTCCCAGTGTGGGGAAGAGCTCCAGGACAGGTCTTCCTGACTCATGGCTGTGCCCCACCGCCTAGTAGAATCCTCCATCCAGGAGGTGCTTGCCCCCAGCAGCATAGCATTTAGGTTCCTGTCCTCTGCTTACCCCAGGCCTGAGAAATCTCACCCACCTTCTCTGTTTCACTTCCTACTGTATCACGTTTCTATTTCCTAGTCACTTCTTACTTGAGGGGGAACAGAAAAACCCAAGCCTGGCAGTTCTTCCCCGGGCAAATCAGGAAATGACTCACATGGCCATGCCTGCGAGGTGGAGTCAAAGGTCACTTCCCTGAGTCAGGACGAGATTCCTAGCAGGCCTTCCTTCGGCTTCCACTATCTTCCCCCACTGTTTGTTCACCACCTTTTCCTGCCTGGCATCTTACTCCTAAAACCCCTGGCATTTTCTATGCAGACCTCTTTGCTAATGCTTGCCTGGGGATGCAGAGCCTCCCTTAGGCACATAGCACCGTATTCAGAACCCCCATTCTAGGACGCTGGGGTCCACTTCCTTCTAAGACAGACTCGGAGGAGCTGAAAGGCAGGAACCATGGGTGCTAAAATCAGCACAAACAGCCCAGCCCTCTCTGAGGCCAGACTGGTGCCAATGGTCTGAAGATGATGTTACTAGAGTTTAAGAAAGTCCTATGATCCACAGGGCCCACCCCTTCCCTCAATAGCTGGGTAGGAGGCTACCCCTTCCAGCCCCTTGAAGGCCCTCATCTTTCTCCAGGCACCCGTACTGATTCCCCATACCATCCCAGGAACTGCAGGTCAGTGACACAGGGACCCTGGGTGGGTGATAGGGGAGGTCAGGGATGCGAAGCCATAGCGATGACAACATCGAGGCCTCTATCACCACGAGGCACTGGAAATTTTCCATGCTTGATACTTAGATCAGAGGCAGAACTTGATCTCAGAGTGACATCCATTCCAAGCCTACAGGTTGCCTTCCAGAGTGCACAGCCTGTACAACCACACGGGACCCGTGCTTCAAGGGGGTCCCCATGTAGTTTAAAATTCTTTCATCTCTATTTCAAAATTTCTAATTTAAAAAAAAAATGGAAACCCACACTCTATTTTACACTGGACCCACAAATTATAAAGCCAGCCATGTGTACCCCAGTCTCCTCCCAACTCCCTCCCAATACAACCTACAGCCTGGCCATCGCCTAAGAGTTCTAGAGTGAGGAGCTAACCTCTGGGTTAAGGTATTTGGGATTGGGGCTGGAGAAGTGGCTCAAGGGCTTAAGAGCACTGGCTGCTCTTGCAGAGGAACTGGGTTCAAGTCTTAGCACCAACATGACAGCTCACAACTGTCTGTAATATCTGTCATACCAGCTCCAGGGAATCCAGTGCCCCCTCCCAGGCTCTGTGGAACACATACACACAAATAATTTTTTAAAAAGCTATTTGAGAGTTCCTAGGAGGCTTCCTAAGGCAACAACAATGCCAGAGGAGCTTTCAGGCTGGAATAAGCTGGAGATGTTTAGGGGAGCCACTAAATCTACCTCAGAGAAGCTGCGAAGCTGCTGAGATGCAGAAGGCATCGGGAAAGAGCTGGAATTTTGAGGCACACAGACTTAGTCCAAGCCTGGGCTAGGTTCCTTACACGCTGGGTAATTTGGGGGTGTTACTAAGTGTCTCTGTGTCTCAGTTCATTTGTAAAATGAGGGTCACGATTTGGAGGCTGGGAAGTAGAGTAAATGAGACCGTGTGTCTGAAGCACCTGGAATGGAGCCAGGCAAATAGTGAGCACTCACTGGAGGTGACTGACTGGCTGTGGTCAGATGCCAGGGCTTCATTCCCAGATGAAGTTAGCCTCTCTGTGCCTTAGTTCCCTCATTTGTAAAACGGTGATATTCTGAGTGCCCCTATGATGCTTTGGGATCTTGAACATCAGTATTCCAGGTATTCTTCCCAGGTTCCTGGGGAATCTCATACCCCCATCCCTGCTTTCATGTCATCCTATGTGGATATAAGGAGAAATTGTTTCTGAGTTTTCCTTCCCTACCTAGACTAGCATATCATTCTGCTGGTGTCATCTGAGTGACAGATAAAGGAGAGAGACAAAGAAACTTTGGTTTCTAGAGTGAGCCACTTGCTCCATGGTACAGTGGCCACTGTGCCCTGATGGTGTCTATCCTCTTTCCCCAGATCAGCTCCTCCAGGAAGGATGCAGAGGCTCACAGAGCTGGCCACTGCTTTGGGTACCTTCTTGGGCCTGCTGGCAGTGGCAGCAATGGCAGGCCCTAACTTCCCCCAGATAGACACCCCCAACATGTTGCCTGCCCACCATCGCCAAAAGAGAGACTGGATTTGGAATCAAATGCATATAGATGAAGAAAAAAATGAATCGCTGCCCCACTATGTGGGAAAGGTAAGCCTTGGGTTCCAGGGTGATGGTCGTTATCAACACTGGACCATAGTCATGGCCATGTAGCCAAGATGGTGATGAATACAGGAGTGGTTGTCACTGAAGGGGAGGAGGTGATGAACAGGGTAATGATGGTGACGTTGACATGTATGCTGATAGTTGTGATGGGGAAGAGAAAAGCGATGATGGTGAGGAGGAGGAGGATGGTAGAGATGATGATGATGGTGATGATGGTGGTAGTGGTGGTGATGGTGATGGTGGTGGTGTTGGTGGTGGTGATGGTGGTGGTGATGGTGGTGGTGATGATGGTAGTGATGGTGGTGGTGATGGTAGTGATGGTGATGGTGGTGATGATGGTGGTGATGGTGGTGGTGATGGTAGTGATGGTGATGGTGGTGGTGATGGTGGTGGTGATGGTGGTGATGGTGGTGGTGATGGTGGTGGTGATGGTAGTGATGGTGATGGTGATGGTGATGGTGGTGGTGATGGTGGTGGTAGCAGTGATGACGGTGAATGAAGGTGGTGGTGGAAGTGGTAATGATGACCATCATGGTTATAATAAGTGGGGAGATGAGGGCGGTTATGGTAGTGAGCATCATTGTAATGGTGACGCTCTTGGTAGTGTCGGCCTTGGTGATAGTAGTGATGGTGTCAGTAGTGTGGATGGTAAAGGGGAGGTGAGGAGGTTGATGGCGGTGGAGATAGTGGTAACGACGGCGGTGGGGTTGGTAACGATAGTCTCCATAGTGACAGAGAAGAAGACAATGGGAGTAACCATGGTGGCTATGGTGACAGTGCTCTGAATGAGCAGGCGATACAGTTTATAATTTGGACCTTAAGAAGTGTCCCAAAGGTCACACGTTAATATTTTATCAATCTGTGGTGCTATAGGGAGTCAGGCGTAGTGGAACATCATTAGAAGTTGAAGGTGATACTGGGACTCCAACACACACGCACACGCACACGCACGCGCAAATGCAGGCACACGCACACACACACACACATGCACACGCTCTGCTTCCCAGACACCATGAGCTGAACAAGCTAGCTTTGCTGTGGGTTTTCCATGTTGCTCTTCCTTTACACAAGCTCGAAGCGACAGCCTTGTGAGACTCAAGGCAAGGTCTTTGTTGTGAGCCTTTACATTGGTGCATTAAAAATAAGCCAAATACTTTCAACAAGACAATAGGAAAGATGCTTTTAGGGCATCTCAGAAATCAGCAGGACACTACCCATCTGAGGTCCACTGACTTGTTTGAGAAGAGAACACCAGAACACCCGACTCTCAAAGGACAGACTGTGGAATCATTTCCACAGGATTGGCATCCCTTTTCCTAAACTTGACTGGTCAGGCACTCAGAGGCCACTGAGCTCATGATCTAAGGTGGTCTGGCTGTTTCTGACGTCAGCCTTGTACCTGGGTATCATTCACATGAGGTTGGTTTTCAGGTATGCAGATATAGAAACTGTGGGGTCACTGGCTGCTACCAAAATTTCAAATGGAAACCTGTAAAGTTGGATAACATGGTAGATTTGGAGTCCGTGAAGGCATCCCCTGAGAAGGTGGTCTACGGACATGGGAGGATGAAGGTGAATCTCTAGTGGAGATTCCCAAATGGTAAATATTCCAGAAATACAGATGTAGAGCCAGATCAAGGGAGATGCTCTAGAGACTGCCTAAGCCCTTTGGATCTCACATCCTTCTGCCTTGTGCCCGAGATGCTAGACACTATGAGATCTGATGTATTCTGTGCTGGGTTTCTATCTTACGTGAGTCCCAACTCTTCCTTTCTGTCTTAGTTTCTTTTCTATTTGCTTTGATTTTTAAAAATCTAACAAAAGCAACTTCAGGGAGAAAGTGTTTATTTTGGCTCACAGTTCAAGGGTATGCTCCATCATCAAGAGGAAGCCAAGGCAGCAGGGGTTTAAAGCAGCTGGGTATATCACATCCATCATCAAGAACAAAGCAATGAATGCTTACTCGGCTCACTTTCTTGTCTGCATACGGTCCTGGACCTCTGCCCAGGGAATGGCCCCTCTTGAAATGGGAGAGTGGTCCCACCTCAATTAACAGAAACAAGAAAACCCCTCAAAGGAATGTCCAAAGATTATCCTCACGTAGATAATCCCTCACAGGTGAGCCCAGAGGTTTTTCTCCTGAGTGATTCAAGATCCAGTCAAGCTGGTAATTAACACTAACCATCACACTTTCTCCCTTATGAAACAGGAATGTGTGTCCTATATCGCTGTATCTTACAGCATGACGCTTTTATTCCCGCTTGGCTTTTACTCTTAAAAGCTCAGAAGCTTTCCTTCAGTCTCAGAAGAAACTTCTTTTGAGCAATGCCAGGACTGTAGATACCGCACGATCTCTTACAGATGGGACTCTTATTCATTTGGTGGTGTCAGATGACCATGAGCTCTTGGTAGTCAGAGCCAGGATGTTATCACTCAGGGCTGCCGAGATGCTGCAACAGATAAGGGTCCTGTTATGCAAGTCTGGTGACTTGAGTTCACTGGTGACTGAGTGGCAGGAGAATAGAGAATTCAGAGCATGGTCCTCTGCATGTGGGCTGTGACACACACACACACACACACACACACACACACACACACCCCTACCTTCACATACATGAACACAAAATTTGTTTGTAGTTTATGAGCCAGAGAGATGACTCAGTGGGCAGAGACATTCGTCTCCAGTCTAATGACTAATCGTCAGGACCCACTTGGTAGAAGGAGAGAAACAAACAACTCCCACAAGTTGCCCTCAGAGGTACACACACACACACACTAGTTAATCCAAACAGAATGTTATATTTAGGTCTTCAATGTCCCCTAAAGAGCATGTGCTAAAAGTTGTGGCCCAGTGAGGATGACGGAATCTTGAGGAGCAAAGCCTAGGGGAAGGAAGTTAGCTCATTAGGAATGTTCCCTCAACGCTTTGCTTCCAGGATGTCATTAGTGAACCAGTCTCCTCTGCCACACACTTCTAGCAGGATATATTGCCTTTCTACAGGTCTCAGCACTGAACCTAAGTGACCATAGATGGTGGTGGCGGTGACTGTGGCAGTGACAATGACACTTGTATTAGTCACTTGGATATTTCTTTCTCTCTCTTTTTTCTTTGTTTTTATTCTTCTCTCAAACAATACATACCAACAGCAGCCTCCCCTCCCTCCTCTCCTACCACCGCTCCCACTTCTCTCCCCTCTATCCTCCATTTCCCTTCAGAAAAGAGCAGGCCTCCCAATGATATCAACCGACCGTGGCGTGAGAAGATGCAATAAGACCAGGCACAAACCCTCATATCAAGGCTGGATGAGGTGACCCAGTGGGAGGGAAAGGGTCCCATAAGCAGGCAGAAAAGTCAGAGACAGCCCAACGCCCAGTGCTAGGAGTCCCAAGAACAGCAAACTAAACAACCAAAGCATGTGTGCAGAGAACCTAGTGCAGACCCATGCAGGCTCCGTGATTGCTAATTCAGTCTCTATGAACACATATGAGCCCTGTTGAGTTGATTCTGTGGGCCTGTGTTCTGATGTCCTTGACCCCTTTGACTCCTACAGTCCTCCCCTCCCCACTTTCTTCGGGGTTCTCCAAGCATAGGAGTGGCCCACACAGGCTCGTATATTTGGATGCTTAAGGTGTAGCATTAGGAGGTACAGCTTTGTTGGAGTGGGTGTGGCCTTGTTGGAGGAAGTGTGTCACTGGGGGCCTCAAGTTAGACCAGTCACTGGTTGGTCACTCCACCTGATGTTTGGCTGTGTGTCTCTGCATCTGCTCTCATTAGCTACTGGAGGAGGCCTCTCTGGGGATGACTGGGCTACTCTCAGATCTACAGTATAGCAAATTATCATTAGGTATCACTTCATTGACTTTGTTTTTGCCAGTTGTGTTTGGTTCTAGCCTAAATCTCTGAGCCATCCAGCTACTGGTTCCTGGCCATCAGGCAGTGTCATGACTTGAGCCTCAAGTTAGACCAGTCATTGGTTGGTCAGTTCCACAGTTTCTGAGCCACCAGTGCCCACAGTACATCTTGCAGGCAGAACAGGGTTTAGTAGCTGGGTTGGTGTCCTAGTCCCACCACTGGGAGACTAGCCTGGTTAAGGAAGATGACTAGTTCAGGCTTCATACACTCCATTATCTGCATCTGCTCCCATCAGCTACTGGAGGAGGCCTCTCTGGGGATGATTGGGCTACTCTCAGATCTAAAGTATAGCAAATTATCATTAGGTATCATTTCATTGACTTCTTTGCTTGTGAATTTTTGTCAGTTGAGTTTGAGTCCTCACTAGAGTCACCCTCATCATTTCCAGGAAGGTTCCACTGCACTAGGGTTCGACATCACCCCTTAAATGGCCACCTATTCCAGTAGTCTCTCCCTCTACTTTCTCCCTCCATCCCTCTCTCCCTCACCTGATCTCTCCTGTCCCCATCCCCATTTGCCCCAGTCCGTCCACAAAATCTACTCTACTTCCTATTCCCATTCCCAGGAAGATCCATGTGCCTCCTCCCAGATCTTTCTTCTTTCTCTAACTTCTCTGGGTCTTTGGATTGTAGTGTGAGTATCCTTTATTTAACACACCTCACAAGGAGCAACTTATAGGAGGAAGGGTTTACTCTGGCTCACAGGATAAGAAGGGATGGACTCTATCACATCAGGGAAGACATGATGGGTCAAGTGTGAAGAAGAGGGCTACACTGTGTTCTCCAGTCAGGAAGCAGAGAGTAGAGAGGAAGTAGGACCATGCTGTAAAACCTCAAGGCCCAACCTAATGACCTACTTCCTCTAGCAAGTATCTACTTCCTAAAGGTTTACAACCTTCTAAAACAGTGCTACCAGCTGAGAATCAAGTGTTCAAACACTGGGACTCATTTCACTTTCAGGCCACAATATTAGTGAAGTAGATAAGGAGCGATAACAGTTGTCCTAGTCAATATCCTATTGTGAAGAGAAACAGTAACCAAGGTAACTCATAAAGGAAAACATTTAATTGGGG